CTTTGTTTTGAAGTCTATTTTATCTGATACAAGTACTGCATCCCCTGCTTTTTTATCTCTGTTATTTGAATGAAATATCTTTTTCCATCTCTTCACTTTCAGTCTATGTATGTCTTTAGGTCTGAAATGAGTCTCTTGTAGGCAGCATATAGGTGGGTCTGTTTCTTTTTTTTAATTGAAGCCTAGTTGATATACAATCTTGTATTGGTTCTAAGTATACAACACAGTGGTTCAGCAGTTACCCATATTATTAAATCCTCACCCCCCTGGTGCAGTTACTATCTATCAGCATAGTAAGATGTTACAGAATCATTGGCTATATTCTCCATGCTGTATGACCATCCCTGTGGCCAACTTATATTGTGATTGTGAATTATTGTGCCCCTTTATCCCCTTCTCCTCCCACCCAACCCCTTACCTTTGGTAACCAGTAATCCCTTCTCAGTGTCTATGAGTGTACTACCATCTCATGCCTATTTTTAGACTTTTATTTTATGTGTAGTGCAGACAATGTGTAGTATTGTTTCTACTTCATTTAAATGGATCATACTGGATATACCTGCTACTGCTACTCATATTGCTGCTTTCCTTGGACATTATTTCAGGGATTATAAATGCAGCTCAGATTCACTCACTTTCACTGCTGGGTCATGGATATGACTCTACTCAAACTGTGCTATTGTTCTCCTGATGCATATTTAAATTCCAAATATTTAATATTACCAATAATGCTACAAAATGAATTTTTATATTCCCTTGGTCACATGAGTTTCTTTGGAGTCCTTTCTTCAAAGTCTATTTTAAGGAAGTTAATCATAGGGTAAAGACTGACATATTAATTGGCTAAAATGGAAACTCTCTGTTTAATTCCGGCTCCATGCATGGTATGCAGGGCCCTGTGTGGAAACTCCAAAGCTTTAAGCTACAATGCTTAGCTTCAAAGTTTGGAGAAATTAGCATACACAACAGTAGTACCAGGAGGTGCTATGAAATAAATAGTGTGTGTTGGTAGAGGCAGCTCTGATGTTAAAGGGTTTGGGCCAGTGATTTGTACCTTTCTCCCATAAATCTGAATAGGCTTATCTTTGTTAGCCCCTTAAACCGATTTAATTCCAGTCAAGAGCAGAGGCTCAGTGCCTTTTTAGGCCTCTCTCTGTGTTTTGTTCTCTCAATTCTAAAACCATAGGCAGATCCTGTTCTCTGTTTTCTATCTCTTGGGATCAGTGCATGTCAATATTCTGAGCCTTCTTCCATGGTCTTTTAATGCTATTCTCCAGGAAGATGCATCAGGTGTGAAATTCTGTCTTCCTCAGTGATCTCTCTAATTTTGGTGCTGGTCACCAAACATCATGATAGTGTTAATTCCTATTGCCACTCATTCAAAAGAAACTTCATCAGATAGAAATTTCCTTTTGTGGGGGGGAATCTCCAAGGAGTTCCTTTTATCTCCCCCCCCCCCAACTTTTATTCCAGCAGTGTTTTTTAATATATATTATATTTGAGTTGGAGCAAATTGAAGGTGTGAAGACTCTATGTAGGAGCACAAAACATGGAATACTTCAAAACAGGGTCTCTCAAAGTGTAGTTCCGAGACCAGGAGCATTAGCATTTTCTGGGAACCTGTTAGAAATGCAAATCCTCAGGTCAACTCAGACCTACTAAATCAGAAACTATGGGGTTGGGATCCAGTGATCTGTGTTTTAATTAGCCCACTGGGGAGTCTGAGAACCTCTGCTTTAAAGGATGTTTAGATAGGCTGTATAACCTGGGGTTATGTTGTGGGCCTGCCTTGCTGTACTTTCAGGAAGGGACTACATACATGAGGGTTGGCTGTCCAGTAGGATTATTTGTTGTCATTGCTTGATCACTAGTGACATGAGAGGTATACTTTCATACTTTTTTGTGTAGCATTGTTATAGACAGACCTCTAACTCTGGAGGCTGCTTTGGTTTTCCTTTGTTGGTTATGACCAATGGTAGGAAATAGAATGCCATAAATCCTTGTTTCCAGGGTTACCTTCTTGCTGCTGATAACAGGCAGGAAATTAAAACAATCTGTGATTGTGTTTTGTTCTTATTAGCTACAGATGGTAGCTTTCAGATATGTTGGAGCAAAACATAAATAAATATAGTAGGGAAACTTCATTATTGAAGTTGGCTAGGTTGAGTTTATAGTCTGGGTTCATTTTAATGAAATAGGATATAGGCAACTTATTAGTGTTATATTACACACAAAGCAATAAGATATATGAAGGTCACTAATTTTTTTCTTCTTAGTTTAATTTTGAGTATGTAAGACATTTATATGATTTCAAAGTCAACACTAAATAACAAATTACATAAAAATCTAAACATTATTTTTTAAAGTTAGCTCAAAGTGCAACTTAAATTCAGTAAGTCACCAACTTTATGTGTACAATTTGAGTTTTGACAAATATACACAGTTGTATAGCTACCAGTGCAATGAAGTTATAGACTATTTATCACCCAAAAAAGTTTCTTTCTACCCTTTTGCAGTCAATTTCCCACCTATTTAGTCCCCAGTAAACTGTCTGCTTTCTCTCACTATGTTTGTCTTTCCCAGAATCCCATACATAATTTTTGTGTGTGTATGTTTGTAACTTCTTACAGTTAGTATAGTTCTTCAGAAATGCAGCCATGTTAGTACATGTACCCATAACTATTTCCTTTTATTGCTGAGTAATGCTCCATTGTCTGTAAATTCCAGTTGATAGACATTGTCCTAATTGCTTTTTAGAAAACTTTTAATTTTGAAATAATTTTGGTCTTGTGGAAGAATTACAAAGATAGTACAGAGAGTCTCTGTACCCTTTTCTGAGACATGGCCATGATACAATTATCAATACTTAAGAAATTAATATTGGTTCAATATTACTAAATAAACTACAGACTTTATTCAGATTTTAGTTTTTCCATTGCATTTTAGTTGTCAATCTGTGACAGTTCCTCAGTCTTTCATGTCTTTTCAAAGAGCATTTGTTTAGGTATTTTGTATAATGTCCTTCAATTTAGTGATTTGACTGCAGTTATAGATTTTTGGGAAGACTTTCACAGAGGTGATGTGCTTTTTTCATTGTTTTATTTCAAGAGCTACATGGTATCAATATGGCTTATTACTGGTTAAGGTGGTATTAACTTAATTAAAGTTAACCTTGATCACTGGTTAAGATTGTGTCTGCAAGGTTTTTCTCCTGTAAAGTTACTAGTTATCCTTTTCTCTAGTCGGTTTCTTAGAAGCAAATTATTGCTTTTTAACTCCTGATTTACAGCATTGTATATGGGACACATAGTTTGGCAATTCCTTCTATCTTAATTACAACAATAGCAATAATAACAACTATTGCTTACACCACCTGCATAGTTCTAACCACATGTGGATTGTCTCATTTAACCCTCAGGATCCCCCTGAAAAAAATAGGTACTTTTTCATGCCCATTTTACAGCTGAGAAGTTGGGGCATAGAGTGCCTTGCCCAAGGTCAAACAACTAGTTAATGATGGGGCCAGATGCTAACTTAGCCTAACTCCAGGGCCAGCTTTTAACATGTGCCACGTAATTGTACTCAGAGCTTAGAAAAGGGATGCTGTCATTCTTTGCCAGTATGAATGAATGGGTCCTACATTTGACAATTCTCTTTTGCTTTTTCTTTAAGAAATAATTTTTTTGTTCATTTTTACTTTCAAGAAGATTCTTTGTGCTATACATGGCAACAATACTACATTAAAATGTTGAAGAAATCCAGTATACTTTGGGGAGCACTAACTAAGGATCTATTTTTGGACTTTTTCTTTCAGAAATATGACTGAAGGTTAGGACAGAGTATTCAGAATAGAAAACTGCTTTTGGAGAAGGGATGTTTACTTAAAGAATGGCACTTAGCTTTCTCCCTACCAGGGGGTCATGTTTGTATGTATCTAAACCCACATGTTCACTTTTGTTGACCACACTAATGACTTTCCTACTACACAGCCAAACATGTCTCTGAATAGCCTGACTCAGGGGATGATAACTGTGGTTAAATGATGACTCAATAACTGTGACCCTATATTCTAGTAGCTATGGAGCCACTGAAGGTCAGGCTGTGTGGGTGGACATTATCACATCTTCCCTGTGACTCACCTGCCAGCTTCCTTTCTGAGAGGAAATAGCTGGAGGTGGTTGCAAAGCTCTGCTAACCTCCTCCATTCTCTGTCTAATCACACTATATAGATAGGTATCCCTAGATCCTTGAAATCACACAGCTAGGTGGCTTGAATATATCTAGTCTGCAAGCTGTCCAGATATCAGTGCAATTTTAAATATAAAGCGTTTTTGTTTCTAAATGCCTGTTGTATGCCTGGTCATATGTCCCCGAGTCCACAGCTTAAACAGAACACTGCTCATCACCCAAAGCCAGCCTGGACAGGCATACATATAAAAACTGTAACATTTATTTTTTTAAGAAGGGAGGAAGGCAACTTTTCTGAGTAAGTCTTATGCTTGCATATAATAACTAGAAAATTCTATAGGTAGAAAATTATTTGGAGGATTTATAACAGAGGTCAACTTTATGTGTGTCTGAATGTGACCTCAGGTCTGAAGTCTGACGATTAGTTTTTTTTTTTTTTCAGAGATGAACATCTATAGAGAAAGTGTTAGGTACAAGAAAATGTAAGGAGGAAAGTGAAAGCAGCCCATTTCTACCCCTGGAAATAGCCACTCTTGTCTTGTATAATTTTTCTATTTCTCTTTCCCTCTTTCATGCTGCAAATAAATTTGTAATCTTGCATTTTTAATGTAACTATATCATGGGAATTTTTCACCCTCATTTAAAGAGAAATGTAGCTTTTAATTTTCATTCCCTTAATATGTTAGTAGGATTAACATTCTTTCTTATTTAGACTGTCAGTTTTTATTATTTACCAATAGAGATTGTTAGCTTTTCTACTCTGCACCTTTCTATGAAACTGAACTGTTACTAAAGCAATGGTCTGATTTCAGATGTCCTAAATGATGCTATATTTGATGAAGATCATGATGAAATGGTTATTGTGAAGGACATAGATATGTTTTCCATGTGCGAACATCATCTAGTTCCATTTGTTGGAAAGGTAAGGTTTTCTCTTGTTGTTTCCTAACAATTTAAAAATGCACAATAAAAGTTGTAAATTAGGATACTTAACATTTACAATTATCACCTGCTAATTCCTAATATCCTAGATATTTAGAATCACACATAAACATTTACTCTTTATCAATCTAATAGCTTGAAATTAACAAAACAAAACAAAGTGGCAGAAGACCCTCAGGGCAAGTGTTTGTAGTAAATACCATGTTAATAGGTTAAAATAATGAGATTAAGGTTGCATCTTTTTTTTTCTAGGTATCTGCTGCAGGCTCTGAAATCCTTTGCCCTTTGTTTTGACTAAGTAATGTTTGACCCAAGATATACTTTTGTATAATATGACATGAGCAGTAATGATTGCAGAATTTCTTGTGGCAGAGGTTATAGGATTAGTGAACTTAATTTGTTTCCAACTCCTTCTGTATTAGGAAAAATGAATCTAATGCAAGCTAGATAATGTTATCTAGCTTGTTGTAGTCAAATGTATGTTTGACAGCTTGTGGGTTTAAGACCCAGAGTTGTCCTGTTCTCTTTTCCTCCCCCATATCATAATTTTATTTTATTTAGGCTTTTTATTAATAATTTTCAAACAGAAGACTTATAGGAAATAGTGTTAATGAATACCTATATACCCAATCACCTAAATTTAATGTGTTAACATTTGTTTCCCATTTTTTTGTTAAAGTATTTTATCTTATTTATTTATTAAGGTATCACAGACATACGGTCTTATGAAGGTTTCACATGAGCAATATATGGTTACAACATTCACCCATATTATCAAGTCCCTACACACACCTCATTGCCGTCACTGTCCATCAGTGTAGTAAGATACTATAGAGTCATAACTTGTCTTCTCTGTGCTACACTGTCTTCCCCGTGACCCCCTACTTTATGTGTGCTGATCATAATGCCCTTAATCCCTTCTCGCTCCTTCCCCACCCGTCCTCCCTAACCCCTTCCCTTTGGTAATCACTAGTCCCTTCTCCGAGTCTGTGAGTCTGCTGCTGTTTTGTTCCTTCAGTTTTTCTTTGTTATACTTCACAAATGAGTGAAATCATTTGGTACTTATCTTTCTCCACCTGGCTTATTTCACTGAGCATAATACCCTCTAGCTCCATCCATGTTGTTGCAAATGGTAGGATTTGTTTTCTTCTTATGGCTGAATAGTATTCCATTGTGTATATGTACCACATCTTCTTTACCCATTCATCTACTGATAGACACTTAGGTTGCTTCCATATCTTGGCTATTGTAAATAGTGCTGCAATAAATGTAGGGGTACATATGTCTTTTTTAATCAGGGACCTTGTTTTCTTTGGGTAAATTCCTAGGAGTGGAATTCCTGGTTCAAATGGTATTTCTACTTTTAGTTTTTTGAGGAACCTCCATATTGCTTTCCACAATGGTTGAACTAATTTGCATTCCCATCAACAGTGTAGGAGGGTTCCCCTTTCTCCCCATCCTTACCAGTATTGGTTATTCCTTGTCTTTTGTATGTTGGTGTGGGTAAAATTGTAATATTTCCAGAATATCTCATCTGGCTTTAGTACATCTGCGTATCAATAGACGTTCAGAGGTGAGAAGAAGTATGGCTTTAGTGCATTTGCATTATTCCTCAGGGGTGGAGAGAAGTTCATCTCCATATCAATGGGTAATTATCCAGGCAACAGAGGGCTTATCTGTACCTGAGAAGTTAGGGGGAGGGCCAGTTTTGCTTCTGCTGGAGCAGGAAAGAGAGAAGGCTGGGGACTGCAGTTTGTAAGCAATAAACGGACTTAAAACTTATTTCTCCCTTTGACTGATTTTTTAGTTTTTAGATTGACTGAGTTTTAAAGGTATTTTGCCCTAGGATTTCCTCTCCCCAGACTTACAGTTGGACATCCTGACTGGTATGAGGTGATATCTCATTGTGGTTTAATTTGCATTTCCCTGATAATTAGCAACGTGGAACATTAAAGTATTTTTTTCATTTTTTATAAAAATAAAACATAGAAAATGCACAAATCATAAAGATATTCCTTTCCAACTCAGAGATCAAAAACTAGAACATTACTGGTATCCTGGAAGCTCACCTTGTGCCCCATGTTAATCCCTAACCCATGCCTTGTCCCCAATATATGGATTTCTAACTATAGATTATTTTTCCTTGTTTTTCTTCTGTATATAAATGGAAATAATCAATAGCATGTACTCTTTTGTGTCTGGCTTCTTTTGTCCCGCATAGTAAGAGTCATTGGTATTATTACTTGCATTGTAGTTTGTTTATTTTCATTACTGTTGTTTTTCTTTTGTGAAAATATACCATGGTTTATTTACCTATTCTGTGCTTGGTGGATATTTGTTGTTTTCTCTCTCTGTTTCCACCCCCCACCCCACCTCCACCCCTGCTGCCCCATTACAAACAATACTGCTATCAGCATTCTTTTGGTACACATATGCATGCATTTCTATTAGGAACTTTTGTGAAAATATACCATGGTTTATTTACCTATTCTGTGCTTGGTGGATATTTGTTGTTTTCTCTCTCTGTTTCCACCCCCCACCCCACCTCCACCCCTGCTGCCCCATTACAAACAATACTGCTATCAGCATTCTTTTGGTACACATATGCATGCATTTCTATTAGGAACATACCTAGGAGTGAAATTGCAGCGTAAAAGGGTATATCCATGTTGAATTTATGAGACACTGGCTTTTAGGTTTCTGAAGGGGTTGTACCTATTTACACTTCATATACTCTCATACAAGTCTCAGTCAGTTGATATCCTTGTTTACAATTAGAACTTGGTCTTTTTAAATTTAGTATTCTGGTATATGTGTGTGTAATGGTATCTCTCACTTTTAAATCCTTTATTATAGAAAGTTCCAAACATATAAGACTAGAAAGACTGGTATAATAAAGTTCTGTTTCCCACAGCCAGCTTCAACAGTTATCAGTAAAGGACTGGTCTTGTTTTATATAGGTCCCCATTAGATTATTTTCAAGCAAATCCTAGTCATCATATTATTTTTTCCATGGTTTATTCCAGGATGTCTCTAAAAGATAAGGATTTTTTTAGAAATGTAACTCTAATTTGTATATCCACCTAAAAATTTAGCAGTAAATACTTCTGCATATTAAGGAATATGAAATATAGACAGCATAACTCTCCATCCCTAATTATTATTTTTTTATTACGGTATCATTGATATACACTCTTATGAAGGTTTCACAAGAAAAATAATGTGGTTATTACATTCACCCTTACCATCTAGTACCCCCCATACCCCATTGCAGTCACTGTCCGTCAGTGTAATAAGATGCCACAGAGTCTCTATTTGTCTTCTCCCAGCTACACTGTCTTCCTCATGACCTCACACACACCATGTGCACCAATCATGATATCCCACAATCCCCTTCTCCCTCCTTCCCCACCTGTCCTCCCCCCAACCCTCCCCTTTGGTAACTACTAGTCCCTTCTTGGAGTCTGTGAGTCTGCTGCTATTTTGTTCCTTCAGTTCTGCTTCATTGTTACACTCCACAAATGAGGGAAATCATTTGGTGTTTGTCTTTCTCTGCCTGACTTATTTCACTGAGCATAATACCCTCTAGCTCCATCCATGTTGTTGCAATTGGTAGGATTGTTTCTTTCTTATGGCTGAATAATATTCCATTGTGTATATGTACCACAGCTTCTTTATCCATTCATCTACTGATGGACATTTAGGTTGCTTCCATTTCTTGGCTATTGTAAATAGTGCTGCGATAAACATAGGTGTGCATATGTCTTTTTGAATCTGAGAACTTGTATTCTTTGAGTAAATTC